CCAAGAAAGCCATCGGAGCGGTCGGGGTTTCCTTCTTGCAAATTGGCGAGGTAGTATCGGAGGGTGAGGTTTTCGTAGAAGATGACATCACGTGCTGCTACTGTTTCATTTGTCTCGACGTCGAAAATCTTCCATGCGTTGTAGTGTTTTTCGATGCCCAGGTGTAGTCCCCACTGTGCGCGTTGTGAGAATCGGCCAGCTCGTGCAGATGGAGGCCGGTACTGTACCATGCAGCCGAAGACTCGTAACATTTTTGTGCTGCCCAGTTTTCCTGTCCACAGCAGATGCGGTGATGCGTTGTTCCGAAGCGATGATGACGAGAGCAAGTTGTGCAGCATGACGGCGTGGTCCATTGCTTCGGGCCACTGGTGGTTGGGCAGGTGCATGCCACGCAGCAGTTTGCGCATGGTGTTCTGGAGTGTCCTGTTCATCCTTTCTGCTACACCTTGCTGTTGATGGGCGTAGGGAAGGGAGATGAGGCGCTTGATTCCTCTCTCTGCCAAGTACTCCTTGAACCGAGTCGAGGTGTATTCTCCTCCCCGGTCTGACTGGAAGCTTTTTAGCTTGACGCCCGATTCTCGTTCTGCTACTGGAAGCCAGGCGACGAAGGCTTCGAAGGCCATGTCCTTGCTTGGAAGATTTAGGTGCCAGACGTATCGAGTGGCTCCGTCGATGAAGGTGATGGTGTAATTGTACGTGTTTTGTCCAGGCTCGTGGTTGTACAGGATGTCGCTGTACACCTTCTCGAGTGGCGCGTAAGCTGGTGCGCTTGGGTTGTGGTGAGACGCAAACGGTTGATGTGGTAAGTCAGCTTCGGGACAGGTGAAGCATGTTCCACGGGCTCGCTGAAGTTCTCTGCCGTCAGTTAGGAGTAGAGAGTCTTTGTTGAGCACGCCTGCTCTTATCGTGTTGTTTAACACCGTGTTGCTTGGGTGTCCCATTCTTGCGTGCCAGGTTCCTTCGGTGGCACGATGTCCGGGTGAGCGCCGATACATATCGGAGTTGGAATAGAAGCTGGCGGTGAAGTTGGCGCTTCGATGAACTTCTCGTGGTGCTGGGTGCAGTTGCTGCGCGGGTGTCGGTGGTGTGTCGTCGACGAAGATTGGTGCTGTTGAATGACCAGCGATTGGTGTTGATGTTGCCGCTGTTGTCTCCGTTGTCTCTGCTGCTGCCGTTGTTGTCTCTGCTGCTGCCGATGTTGTCTCTGCTGCTGCCGATGTTGTCTCTGCTGCTGCCGGTGTTGTCTCTGCTGCTGCCGATGTTGTCTCTGTTGCTGCCGGATGTTGAATTGTCGCTAACGCTCTTGTTCTTTCTGCTTTAGGTATCGTGTGTGAATACCAGAAACCGCCGGGGCTGAAGTCTGGGTCAAGATCCGGTGGATGTGTCCAAGAGGTGAAGGTGACGATCCCGTCGCTGTCGGCGGTGCCGAGGTCTGGAACGAAGTCGAGAACGAAGACATTGTTCTTCAAGACTACCTTGCCGATCTAGAGACCTCCTCTCCCGTGGTACAACTTGAATTCCTGGGTGGTGCTGTCTGCTTCGAGGTGAATGCCTTTTGCCATCAACTGGCTGACGCTCAGTAAGTTGTAGCCGAGTCCCTCCGCGATTAATACCTTTGACATCTGTAGTATAACGTTTGTCTCTCTTGACTGGAGCTGAACCACGCCTTGTCGTTGTGTGCGCAGGTTCTGGTTGTTGGCGACGGTGATGACTACTTCGCGTTGGAGTTGGTACTCTTGCTGCACGAAGCGTCCTGAGGAGCACATGTGCTGTCCGCAGCAACTGTCCAAGAACCAGGTGTCTTTCCCGGATGGCTTGCTCTGGGCGATGGCTGCGTACGTTGGATTCGGTTGAAGTGACTCGCGGCGAGGTGTGGTGTTGTCGAGTTGTTCTTCCGGTGAGTAGTGTGGCGGTGACTCGGTGATGCAGGAGTCTGATAATCTTGCCATGCAGCTGATGATGTTGTTGAGGAATGCAGTTGACTTGTGGGGTTCGCTTGCGTGGAGGCGACTTGACTGCTTGAGGGTCGAAGCTGTCGTTGTGGCGGTGTTGACTGTTGTCGATTCAGGCAGTGTGTGCGCGGGTGTCCTGACGTCTTGCAGAGATGGCAGAACGGAGGTACGGGCTTTGGTTGTTGTCGGTTGTTGTTGTTGTTGTAGTGTCGCTGAGTGTGAAACGCGAATTCGGGTACTGATGCTTTCTTCTTGTGCCGTTCCTCTTGCAGGTCCATGTCTTGTTGCTCGGCGTGTATTTCGGCGCAGAGTGCTGCCTCGGAGATTCTCCCATGAGCTCGGAGAATGGCCTTTGTGGCGCGCCATTGAGGGCCGAGGCCGCCGATGATGACTGTCACGAAGGCGTCTTCAGATATCGACCCTCCGCATCGAAGGAGTTTGTCGCGCAACTCGCGACAGCGGCTGATATACGCTATTCCCTTTTTGCCTGGTTTCATTTCCACTGTTGTCAACTGCGCCATTAGCCGACTCTGATTAACGCTGTCTGTTGCTTGGTACAGGTTCTTCAAGTGGCCGTATGCGAGCTCGGCGGAGTTACCATATCCCCGGTAAGACCGTATATTCTGCTGCTGAGTCGGGGTGATATTCCTCAGTAGGATTGTGTACGCCATCATTGACTGATAGGTGGACTGCTGCTTCTCGTACTGTGTGCCGTTTGTTGGGTATGGCAGGGATCCGTCGAAGAATCCGAGGATCTGCGCGCCCTCCATCATCAGCTCGAACTCGAATGACCAGGTTAAAAAGTCCTTTCCGTCGAAAGGTCTTGATGTTTGCAACTTCAGGACGTGCGCGAATTGCGACTGAACTTGTAGCGCGTCCAGTGTCTTCTCTTGTCCAGGTGCAGGCTGCGGTTGTGGCATGAAGCTGACGGAGCCGCGCTGGGGCTCGTATGGAGCAAAGGTAGGTTGCTGCTGTTGATTTCCACGTGCGTAGGATGAACCATCAAGGCTCATTGGAGTCACGTCGTTGTTGTTGTTGCTGTTGTGTGACTGCACAGGTGCCGATTGCTGGTGTTTCTCGTAGAAGGACATGAAGGAGGAAAACTTCTCCATCATGCTCTGATCGAAACCTGCAGGTTGATTCGCAGGAGTCTCGGTGGATGTTGCCCTGGGTCTTGTTGCCGTACCCTCCTCTGTCTGTAGGCCAGAGCCAGGGGGTGGAGTAGGAGTAGTGCCGGGAGAGCCAATAGAGGAACCTCTTTCCTTCTGAGTAGTCATGTCTTCTGATATTGTAGGTGTCTTGATAGTTGAATTCCCCCTGATAGCTCTCATACCATGTTGGGCTTAGAAAAGCCCTTAGGATCTTTGCAGGGGTGAACTCTGGGTAGGACTGATGTAATAGCGGAAGCGTTTTAATGAAGAGTTGTGAACCACCTTGCCCTAGTATGTGAGGGCAAAGTAGATTGATTAAAGCAAAGAGATACAGGATTATATAAGAGTACAAGGAATACGAAGAGATACAGTTATAACTACTTTACTGTTGCTGTTGCGGTTCGATACAGTGACGACTCGGGCAACTGCTCTGTAGCGAGTCAGTTGTGTGTCCTTGCTGTCGCGCTGTACTTGTCAGGTCAAAGGTCACTGACCTTTGACTTTCGCGTAACCTCCAGCAGTTGCTCACCCTCTGAGGGTTGACTCGCTGATGCTGCGATATGTTGTGCTTCGCTTGTGCCTTGGTGTTTCGACACGACAGAGGCGCTTAGAATTAGTTGTTTCCAACATCACGTACTACACGTTCTTTGCAATTGATGGTGAAAGTGTGGCTTTGATTGGTTGGCGAGGTGTAAGGTTCGAATTGGGATGAAGCGAGAGGTGCGAAGTGAACGTAAATCGCTGGGGGTAACCAAACCGTGTAGGCTTGGAAACTTGGTTCGGATCCAAACCTAAAATGCCCCCAACTCATCGAAAGTCTCAAGTACCCAAAAGTGTTGTGCAATTGCTTTTGGGGCAGTGACGCGAGCTGAGTTTCCAACCCAACCAGAGTCAACTTCGCCAGCACTAACTTGGTAGCTTCAAGTGCTTTGCAGTCGATGGCTCCTTAGGCCGAAATTTGCAAATGGCTGGAAATCCGACGAATTTTTGGTCGTTATTTCTTTCGCGAACAACGACCACTTGGTCGACATTTGGTCGCCCACCAAAACGGCCTGTACTTGCCATTTGCAGACTTGACAAGTTTGCAGGCCGATTTGTGGGCCGCATGAACAAACATGTCAAATTTGCAGCCTCGCACAAACCAGCCACCTTGCGACCCAGTCGCACATTTGACTCCAGTAGTGGCACAACTACTCGTTCTATCGCAGGGCGCTTTGTGCGACGATGGGCACATCTGTCGCACTGACTAGTCGACTTCGTGGCCGTTTGCGAGTCGACTCGGCGTCGTTGTCGTGTCGGTTCGCTGAAACGGCCATCAAATATTTCGCGATTTCGCAAAATGAACGAGCTTCGTCTAAAACACTGCGAGTGCCGTGAAAGGGTTACTTTCGCCAACAACGGCCCGACGGATTTTCCCAAAAATTGTTGTGGCACGACTTTACACGCCTTTAGCTTACATGAGACCATGGCTTTAAAGCCAGCAGCTAAAATAGTGACCCCCCCCCCTTCTAGTTGGGTCCACTTGAAAACTGAAGTTTTTTTGGAACAGTTTCGGAACCAACGAAGTGCTGTGCATTTTTATTTTTTCACTCCAGACGAGTCTCGCTGTGAACGGGGAACATGTGGAACAAGTGCACAATTCTGATTGGCAGCGAAACTTGCACACAATGCACACATACTTCTGTGCGAATTTGGCGCAAGGTAACAATGCATGTATTCACTCGAGCAGTCATAGAACTTCACAAAACCTCACATCAATCAACAACACAGAATCCAGCGCACACACAAATGCAGGAGATGAGAGCGGAGGTGGGCCGACGACCTGGCAGAGCTGCGACTAAAAGAGGTTAAAAATAGGGAGTCGAAGAACGAGGGGGAAAATAAGTTTGACAAGGTATCACCAACGGATAGAATGAAATCGATGGGGAGAGAGAGAGGAACAACGGCCAGCGAGGGGAGAGTGGAGGAGCGACGGGAAGAAAGAGGAGAGAGAGGAGGCGAACGACGGGATGGGAGGGGAGAGGAGGCAAACGACGGGATGGGAGGAGAGAGGAGGCGAACGACGGGATGGGAGGGGAGAGGAGGCGAACGACGGGATGGGAGGGGAGAGGAGGCGAACGACGGGATGGGAGGGGAGAGGAGGCGAACGACGGGATGGGAGGGGAGAGGAGGCGAACGATGGGATGGCAAGGGGAGGGGAGGACGTGAGCGAGAGGAGATGAAGGGAACGACCGGATGGGAGGGGAGATTGCAAGGGCGACGGGATGGAGAGCGCGAAGGCGACGGGAGAGAGAGCACGAAGGCGACGGGAGGGAGAGCGCGCAGGCGACGGGAGGGAGAGCGCTAAGGCGACGAAATGGAGAGCGCTAAGGCGTCGGTAGGGAAAGCGCGAAGGCAACGAAATGGAGAGCGCTAAGGCGACGGTAGAGAGAGCGCTAAGGCGTCGGTAGAGAGAGTGCTAAGGCGATGGTAGAGAGAGCGCGAAGGGGACGGGAGGGAGAGCGCGCAGGCAACGAGAGGGAGAGCGCTAAGGCGACGGGAGGGAAAGCGCGAAGGCGACGAAATGCAGAGCGCTCAGGCGACGGTAGAGAGAGCGCGAAGGCGACGGTAGAGAGAGCGCTAAGGCGACGGTAGAGAGAGCGCGCAGGCGACGAGAGGGAGAGCGCGAAGGGGACGGGAGGGAGAGCGCGCAGGCGACGAGAGGGAGAGCGCGAAGGGGACGGGAGGGAGAGCGCGCAGGCGACGAGAGGGAGAGCGCGAAGATGACAGGAAAAGTGCACGGAGGGGAGGGAGGAATGGCGGGGGGAGGGCGTTTCGGGGAGAGAGCTAAAGACGACGCGGTGAGCGATGGGCCGACGAATGCATGCGCGAGGGGAAAAGAGATGGCGACGGGGGGGGAGGAGAGAGACCCGCTAAGGTGGGAGGGGAACGGACAGCGGACGAACGACCAAAGGGTAGGGGAGATGGCGGAGGCGCGATACAGGAAACTAACACCTGCGGAAGGGTAACGATCGGCTACGGAAGGGAATAAAATTATGATACAACGCTACGTAACAGTCTTACGCATTCCCGCTAAGTCGATAGTTCCTTACCTAGGCAACAAACACCTATTGTTGTCAGCTATAATATGCTAGGAATGAAACTACTGATTACGGGACGGAGAGCAGCTAGCATGAAACCCAGTTCCAGCTTGAAACCATTTTGGCCCGGCGATCGAAACCATCGCTTGGCAAGAGTCGTGCAGGTGTAGCACGAAACATGCGACAGAGGAGATCCGCAGGGAAAAAAAATTTGGCGGGAATATGAAGCATCAAAGATTGGCGACAGCCAATCACATTTGCTCACAGTGCTATTCGTTTTGTTTGGAACAGTGCTCGATCGGCCCGTTTTCGGCAGCACACGGAGTTCGCGCTGGGCTCGAGTGGCCACTAACCACGGGATCATAGCATCAGGCACGCCGGCCTTCAGCTCCAAGGAAAACACTGTGGTGTACTGGTACAACCACAAGAAAGTAGTGCTCCTCTCATGGCACAGCGACCAACGCAAGGCCCCTGGCGTCCATGTGCAAAGTCAGAAGAGGTGCAGTGGCAGTCGCAAGTGAGGATGAATGAGGGCTTGCACCCTGCCAACCCTCGAGATAAAGCGTGTGCAGAGGAGCAAACGAAGGAGGGAGTGGAGGAGTAGACGAAGGAGGGAGCGGAGGAAGCGACGACGGGAGACTTGAGAGAAGACAGTACCTAGCCATATGATGGAGACATGGGAGTGCAGGGTGACCTAGACGGTGGTGCCATAGGAAGGAAGGGTGAGTGAGTGATCTACAAGAGCAGGACACAGCGATCTGACCAGACGTTAACACCTGGGGGGACGCAGTGCGGAGTGTGAACAGACTTGACTCAGGGTAACGTGCCGAGCTGTGCCCTGGTGGTAGCGTCCGTGCATATCGCAAACATCTCGTATCCAGTAAACAGTTAGTGTCACCAAGGTCCTGAAGAACTCCAACACCCACCAAGGTTTGGAGAACGAGGGAATGTGGGGACCCATGAAGTAACCAAAGGGTACTGTCGGACACTATAAGCGACGACCGACCCAAAGTGGATCGGCCAAAGCGACTGCGACTGGTACTGGAAGCGGCGAGACGGTGGAGCGGTCACGGAAGAAGCACTGAGACGCGTAGGAGTCAAGCGTGAAGGAGAGTGACGCGTCAGTACTAGTTGCACATGGGCTAGCAACAACACAAGCTCTTACACTTGAGAAATACAAAGATCCTAGTCTAGGCAAAGGCAAATTAAAGGATTCGGCAACACTTATGTCCATGATAAGGTAGCCACAACTCAGCTGCAAGGGCCAGTGCGGGGAAGCCGTCTCTGACCCAAAGTGGTCGCGGTAGAGGTCGTCAAGGAGGCGGAAGCAGCGCACAGTAGAGTGGTCAAGCCGCCCACAGGTAATGCAAGCGCCAGGGTCAGTCAGAATTTGGTACTTGCAGGGTGTGGTGTCACAGCGACGCGCCCCCAAGATATTAGGGGCGACACTATGGCCGACGCTCCCCAGACCACCAAATACCCACAGCTCCTAAAGGGCCCATTGCTGGACTCGTTCCTGCTGCTGATTCTGCTCTACAAACGCCACACCCCTAGGACCAGCGCCTACTCCGACCGGACTCAGAGCCCCAGCACCACCTCTAGAGTTGTATACCTCAAACGCACCAACATCCCCACCGCCTCCACCTCTGTCACCTCCGCCACCCTTCCTACCCTTCTTATATCCCTTGGCACGCCGCTACCCATCAAAGGCAGTAATAGCTGCATTCTTCTTGGTATTAGAAGACCCATCAGCAGCAAGTTTAGCAGTAAAGGTAGGGAGCTGGGGTAGAGCGCACCCCTCAAAGAGATGAGGGACTACTGGACCAGCAGCTTAGTGGGGTACCTAGTGAGGAGAGCGTTGCGCGCAGACTAATGGCGGCCAGGGAGACATGTCACAATGGCATAGTTGATGAGGTGGATAGGCGGAGGGTGATTCTTAAGCTGGGCAGGGGTGCAGGTAGCATGATAGCTAGCGTCGAGCGAGTGTTGGTGTGTAACTAGGTTAGTAGTAGTCGCAAGCGCAGGAAGACCTGCGAAGAGAAAGGACCTGAGCAGTAGACTTAGGGTGGTAGAGGAGGGAGCAAAATAGTATGTAATGATAGTATCAGAACACTCACTTGCGGGCGTGACCTTGCTAAAGTGAACGCACTCAGCTGTCGAAAGGAGGTGACTAAGAGCGAGACGAGGAGCAGCGTTGTGTGATTGCCACACCAGGTACGCAGTGCGCTGCGAAGCAAAGGCCTCATGGGCAGGCAACTCACTTGAAGTGTGGGTGCCATCATCTTAGCGCCAACTCTGAATGTGAATCTTGGCGTGCAGTAGCCACATGCAAAAGTAGTCCTTTGGTGTCATAACACAGGACTCCATTGGATGCCATGACTGAGGCTAGCCAGGTCTAGTCAACAGCTGTGCTTAGCAGCGGGCTAAGAAAGGCGGTAGGAACAGCGCTAGGGACGACGCTAGGAACGACGCAAGGAACAGCGCCAGGAATGGCACAAGGAACGGCACTAGGAACGGCACAAGGAACAAGGTGCTATGAACGGCGCTAGGAATGCCGCTAGGATGCCCCCCCCCCCCCCCCCCCCCCCCTCCCCCCCCCCTCAAGAAGCCCCCTCCGGTACGCGAGTGCGTGTATATCGCGGAAACCACGGCTCCTCAGGTACACTTGCAGAGTAGGGTGATTTTCAATGTTGGCCAGGGGCACCCAGCTATCCTCAGTTGGCGTGCGGTCCTTCCAGCAAACGAGAAACTCAATCCTCTTGACGCCTGTGGGGTGTCGAATCTGATGGCTCATAATTTTTTCGGGCTCGATAATCGACTCCGTTGCAGGGCGAGACATGGATGGCGGGCGGTCATGAGGCAGTTAGCTTGTGGTCGGGATGTAAGGGCGAAGCAGGCTGACGTGGAATGATGGGCTGATGTACCAGTCTGTCGGCAACAGTAAGTGGGCGGTAACTAGGGTGATCATGTTGCTGATTTGGAATGGTCCACAGTAGCGCGGTCGTAACTTCGGCACGACGGGCAGTCTTAAGTTCTGTGTTTCGAGCAGCACGTAATCTCCTGGTACTGACTGGTACGTGACTGGGCGGCGGTGGCGGTCAGCGTTGTGTTTTGCGATGACGTTGGCTTTTTTTATTGTGTCTGCGACTCTTGTGCAGGCAGCTTGCAGGATCTTGGTGAATTGCTGTGCGCGTGGCGTAGATTTTGCCCGTGGTTCAGGTAAAATGGAGACTATTGCGTCATCGCTGACGTGGCGTTGTTGTAGGCAAACTCGATCAGCGGCAGCTGCTGCTCCCAGGTTGTCGGGTCATCGCACGTCGCCCGAATCAACTGCTCCATCGTCTGATTGGTCCGCTCCATTTCATCATCGGTCTCGGGATGAACTGAACTCTAGCCTGGTCCCGAACTGCTCCTAGAGTTTCTTCCAGAAGTTGCTGGTAAACTTCGTGTCGCGGTCGCTGATTATTGCGGTTGGTATCATGTGTAGTCGAACGACGGTTGCGATGAACAGGCGAGCGGTTTCTTTGGCTGAGATTGATTTCTTACACGCAGTGAAGTGAGCCATCTTCGTTAGTCTTTCAACGACGACCATTACCGCGTCGTTATCCCCAGGTTTTGAAGGTAACCTCGTGACGAAATCCATGGTAACCTGCTGCCAGGCGCGCTCGGGCGGTGGAATCGGCTGCAACTGACCCGCCATTCTCTTTCGCGAGCTCTTCATCACCTGACACGTAGGACACGAGCCCACGTGATGCTATACGTCGATCAACAGCTCCGGCCAGTAGTTTTGCCGCTACATTTGCTGTCGCGTCTTTTCTACCCTAAAGTGACATGAGGTAACCCCGTCGTGTGCCTCCTGCAGTAACAATTCCCTCAGAAGTGAGTACGCGGGTACCCAAATGCGGTTGGTGCCTGTCTTTATGTAATAGACTCCCTTAGCTTCTGCCAGTTGCTGTGAATTTCCGGTCGTGAAAATGGGTTGGTACTGTATCCGTGGGTGAATAGGCCTGTTAACAGTGGGTTGGTCTGGGCGAGTAGGATGGCGTGGAGTTGGGCGGTGGGGCGTGTAAGTGCGCCGGCGATGTTTGATGCGCCTTTTTTATACGTGACTGTGTAGTGGAAGTTGGACTCCAGATACTCCAACCAGTGGATCTGTCGCGGGTTGAGATTCGGTTGGGCGCGGAGGTGCTGTAGTGATCGGTGATCTGTCTGTACTGTTACGTCTGCTCCGGTGAGGTAGCATCGCCACACTTTGAACACGTGCACGATCGCCAGCATTTTGCGGTCGTGTATTGGGTAGTTGCGTTCGGGCGGGTGAAGCTTGCAGGACTCGTACGCGATTGGCTGGAGGCCGT